CCCCTTCTCTCTGGGTACACAGGATTGAATCCAGGGGCACTTAACCACTGAGCGACATTCCCAGCCCTTTTTCTTTGGACACAGGACCTGGCTAAATTGCTTAAAGCCTAAGTTGCTGAGGCTGGCTTTGAACTTGCAATCCTCCTGCCTCAGCCTCCTGAGCCACTGAGATTACAGGCATGTGCCACCATACCCGGTGCATGCTCTCTCTCTCTCTCTCTCTGAGATAGGGTCTCACTATGTTGCTCAAGCTGTTTTCAAATTCCTCGGCTCAAGCAATCCTCCTCTCTCAGCCTCCCAAATAGCTGAGACTGCAGCGTATGCCGGCTGACTTTCCTTAAGAACTTTGAGTCACTGCTTGTGGCTTGGCCCTTTAGCATCTATTGCTTGGATCATTTCCTGTCCCCAAGGAAAAATTAGATTAAAAAAAAACATACACCAGCAGGACACCTCATTTACCTCTCAAGCATGCGTGTGAGACAGTTAAGGGAATATGTTGCATCTTGTACAGGACAACCATCCATGCAAATGTGTGGGCCAGGTGTGACTTTATAATCGGGAGCAGGACTGGGGATAGTTTGAGATGAGGAAGGGTGGATTTGGGGATAGGCTGGAGTTGTAGACAGTGTGGGGATCAAATGAAATTGGGGCTGGGCTTGGATGAGTTTGAGTTGGGTTTGGTATGGGGTAAGGTACGCAGTGGAGGTTGGGCTGGTGTAGGATTGGGTACAGGATTGAGATGGTAATGAGGATGGGCTGGTTGGGTGTTGGGGTGGTGAGATGCCCCCCCACACACACTCACCAGATTTGGGCTGGTTGCACAAATTGAATCCACACACGGTCTCTGTAAGGCTGATGATCTGTGAGCTGGTCCGGTAGCTCATGGTCCTGTTGGTTTTCTCTGAGTGGGCACAGCCTCTCTCCACCACCTCCAACTCTTCTTCACTTGTGAGGAAGGTATCTTTAGTGCCACGGAGGCTCCCTTGGGTCCAACCAATCTGTGACACTCCCAGTCTCTGGGCCATCTACTCCCAGGGCTGATCCTTGCCAGGATTTCCCTCTTTTTATCGTCCAACTCTGTGGTTTCCTGAAGTCATCTCCCACCCCACCCCTCATACGGACACCCTGCTCTCTCTTAGTGACCCTATCACTGGGACTTTCTGGATCCATCTACCCCTTACCCCTCCCCCACAGCTAGGTGATCTCAACAGGGAGAAGCCTCTAATAGACATTTTTTTTTTTTTTT